AAGGCCCCGAGGGGCCCCCACGAGGCCCGAAGCAGGCCCCCAAACATTAGGCTCCCGCGACGCCCCAGGAGGCCCCCAAAACGGCACCCAGGAGGCCCACAAATATGGTTCCCACGATGCCCTCGAGATGCCTCCCGCGACATCCCACCGAACGTCCTTGAGGTTTGTGGCCCGCAGCCGAGGCACGGTGGCGGGATTAGCCGATGGCTGTCCTTCGCAATCCCTGCGCGCTCCTTCTCACCGTTTCTGTGTTGTTACTTCGAAGATCCTCCGTCTCACCTCCAAGCTCCGCCTCCTCATCCCCTTTCTCAAGAGTTCCGGATGGTTCTGCCAGGTCGCTCTCCAAAAAGGTTTCTGGTGCATTTGCTGCCCGCTGTTGCCGCCAGCTGCCTGCTTGATCGTGTCCACCGTTCCCTGCGACGCGCTGCTACTTGCTGTGTGTTGCTGCTGCTGCTGCTGCTGCCTGCTGGTGCCTCATTGCCGGCTAGTGACTGCCAATGCATTCCCAGACGAAACAGCATTGGATACAAATCAGCACGTTGCGAAGCAGATTTGGAAACGATCAAAATACGAAGCTGGAAACTATGAACGAATTCCCTCGGATTGGCGTCGGGAGCGAACAAATGCATCACCGCGGAGACCTGGAATCGTCAAAACAAACGTCAGCAGGAAACCATGGATACATTAATTTTTGAATGAAGGGTGGAAAATATACAGAGCGCCATTGGCACTAGTAAAGCACACTGAGATAATACAGATGTTTATGGCACGCTACATGTTCACATGCATCTATAATCTGCTGAACAGAGAGCAAGGCGAGTGAGTGGAGTAAGCGATATTATTGCTGTACGAATGAATGGAGCCATAGAGGATGAGACAGCGAGACCGAGCAGAGAGCGAGAGGGAGACATCTACAACCAGTGGAAGACGTTGTGAGACATGGGTAAAAACATACAGACAGAGAGTGAACGAGAGAGAGAGAGAGAGTGAACGAGAGAGAGAGAGAGTGAGACACAGAGAGAGAGTGTATAATAATGGCAGGGGAACAGAGAGTAGTTTCCCCAGCAGCGCGTACACTGCAAGGGCTCTCCCATTGGGGACTGAGAGAGCAGGTGGTATGGGCAGGACCGATCCCGTGGGACGACCGGGCTCTCCGAGGCCTGCGGTTTTTGGGTTCTGGGTCGCTGTCGGCGCGCGGCTGCTATCCCAGGTTCCTGTCGGAGGTTGATAGACCTCATACCCTGACACGTCGATTAGTGAATTGGCCGTTTTCGGCTCGCGAGAGGGCGTCGCGGCCGTTATTTTGCGGGTCCATGTCCGTCGGTTTCGGTCCTAGGCCGTTTTCGCTAAAGGGAGGTTGACTAAAGGGAGGTTTGTCCACCGCCGATCCTGGTTTCGGGTCCACGGTTCATTGTACTGTTGGTTTTGCACGTTATTCCCTACCTAGGCTCTGCCTAGAGGGTTCTTACTCTCTTAACTTAAAGGGGCCGGGCAGTGCAAAGCGCCCCGGGCGGTTCCCCCAGTCCCCGCCCCGCGGTTCCCCCAGTCGCCTGGGAGTTTTAGCTTTAGCTTTTAGCTTTAGCTTTAGCTTTAGCTTAGCTTTAGCTTTAGCTTAGCTTTAGCTTAGCTTTAGCTTAGCTTTAGCTTAACTTTAACTTAGCTTTAGTTTAGCTTTAGCTTAGCTTTCACTTTAGCTTAGCTTTAGCTTAGCTTCAGCTTAGCTTTAGCTTAGCTTTAGCTAGCTTTAGCTTAGCTTTAGTTTAGCGTTGACTTAGTTTTAGCTTAGCTTCAGCTTAGCGTTAGCTTAGCGTTAGCTTAGCTTTAGCTTAACTTTAACTCAGCTTTAGATTTAGCTTAGCTTAAGCTTATAGTTAGCTTAGCTGTAGCTTATATTTAGCTTAGCTTTAGCTTAGCTTTAGCTTAGCTTTAGCTTAGCTTTAGCTTAGTTTTAGCTTAGCTTTAGCTTAGTTTTAGCTTAGCTTTAGCTTAGCTTTAGCTTAGCTTTAGCTTAGCTGTAGCTTAGCTGCAGCTTGGCTGCAGCTTAGCTTTACTGTTACTACTAATGCTGCTTTCCTAGGGGTTCCAACTCCTAGGTAGGGTCGCACTGGGATAATCTTGTTTTGCTTCGGGCGTCCGCGACACACCATATTCGATATTGCAACAAGAGCATACGACGGAGCAGACGCCATATGTATGCAGAGAGGATCAAGCAACGATTTTAGAGGACAGAGGGTAGATCGACCCTTGAGGATCTACAGGGTAAGCTGGTAGTGAAACGCGATAGAAAGAGAGATATAGAGAGAGGGAGACAGCAAAAATGGAGAGACGGAGTAAGAACAATACGACTAGAGAAGCGTGGGGAGAGAGGGAGAGACAGAGAGAGAGAGAGAGCGAGAGAAACCAAACTAGAGAGTATGTATAACCGTTTCTAGCTATCATGTTGAAAGATCCATCTGGATGCGAGTGTATCGCGCATCAGAGCGTACACCGCAGGGAGCGCAGGGCAACGCTGGATAAGAGAGAAGGAGAGAGAGAGAGAGAGAGGGAGGGAGAGTGAGAGAGAGAGAGAATGAGATTCAAAGAGAGAGAGAGAGAGAGAGCGAAAGAGAGATAGAGATAGAGAGAGAGAAAGAAAGGTATAAACGAGATAGAGAAAGAGAGAGAGAGTGAAGCAACACAGAGAGATAGAGAACGAGATATCGAAAATCGCCAAGAAAGCGATACATATATATACACAGAGAGATAGAGAGAGAGGGTGCGACAGAACAGAGAGAGAGGGAAAGAGAGAGGGAGCGACGGCGAGAGAGAGAGAGAGGAGGACAGACAGAGAGAGAGAGGGAGAGACAGAGACATAGAGAGAATGAGCAAGTGAAAGAGGGAGGGCGAGAGAGACAGACAGACAGGGAGAGAGGGAGAGCGAGAGAGAGAGTTGGAGAGGACAGGGATAGGGAGAGAGAGAGAGGGAGAACGCGAGAGAGGGAGAGGGGGAGCGAGAGAGAGAGATATACGGAGGGAGAGAGAGAGAGAGAGAGAAGCAGACATACTGATAAAGAGAGGGAGAGAAGAGAAATATAGCATGCACGAGAGAGGGAGAGAGGGAGCGAGAGAAAGAGGAAGAGAAATAGATATAGATCCGCACCGAAGTTTTGTATACACATGCCGGTATCGTTGAGAGGAGGTCTTCGGTTATATATTGCATAGCAAGGTCTGACGGCATTGCACACGATAAGATTGGATGTGTGTGTGTCTAAGATACACACAGCCGAGGACAGGTAAAGGGATCACGTGAGAGAGAGAGAGAGAGAGACGGGGGGGAACGACACAAAGAGAGGGCCAGCGTGGAGTACATGCGAAACGCCGAGGGTATCTGGAAGTCTGTTTCCGCAGCCAGCGCTTGCACTCAGGAGGGCTACTGGCTTTTTTACTGAATCGGGCCTGTCTGTTGGCCTGGCGGCTATGTTCAGGAGGGGAAAAACACAGACACAATGAATCGTCGATCCCCAGGAAAAAGATGGGAAAATATGGGAAGTTGGGTGGAAGACGAGAACCCAGAAAAAATGAGAAAATGTGTGGAATCCATTTATTCGTGTGTATTTACTTGTGTGTCCCAGGGCCCCTTCATATCTGACTGCCGTCTCCGCCTCGTGGCCGCCCGTCGTCTGGGCCTGCCTGTCGGTCTGGCGGCTGTGTGGCCGCCGTCGCCGCCCCGTCGCCGCCTCGTGGCCGCCCGTCGTCTGGGCCCGTCTGCCGCTCTGGCGGCTATGTGGCCGCCGTCGCCGCCTCGTCGCCGCCCTAGCTTCGGACGCAACTCCTGGGAGGTAAAATCACATTTCGTCCTGGTCCGAAATCCGGCTTAATCCAGCTTGATCCCGGTCAATCCGGTTTAATCCCGCTTAATCCCGTTCAATCCGGCTGAATCTTGCTTGGTGCGAGGCCCTTTCCGACGTAACAGCTCCCAAATGAGGCTTCATCCTCTTTAGTCTTTCCGACGAAAACCTCCCAGTAGTTGCCTCCTAACCTAGATTGCGCAACGCAGTTTTTTTTTTAACGGGATTGAGGTCTCCCCTCCCCCCCCGCCCCGCGGGATTTCCATCTGCCTTTGGGGATGTACAGTTTACCTGCGATTCTGCCCTATAGTTCGTGTTGGCATTGTGCTCGCACTCTTTCCAGCCAGGCCGCCACCCCCCCTTTCCCAGCAAGTTTTGCCCTCTGAGCATATTCATCCGCATGTCGAAATCATTCGAACGCCCTTGCGCGCGTGCTGCGGGGAGGGCAGGGCGATCCCTGTCAAGTAATACCGTGCAGGCCACCTGCGCGCGTCGACCGTGCTTGCTGATCAGACTCCTTCCAAAACCCGAATCACCGACTCGAGGACACCGTCGTCGTCGCCGGCGTGATCAGCATCGGTGCCGTCATTGGCGTTACAGTCATCATCGCCATCATCATCATCGCTATTATATTAATCGTGTCTTCCGTTCTCGACGTCGCCATGATACCGCGCCTGGACAAGTCACCATCTCGTTTTGAACCGCCCGCCGGCAAGTTCCCAGCGATCACCGCTACGTCGGCCGCCTCGGTCGCGCCAACCTAGCTGGCCTCTGTGCGCGCGAGCATGCGCGGGATGGCGCGGCCGCAAAGATGCCCCAACCAACCCCCAAGCGTTCATCACAATCAACGCCGCATGGGTTCTGCAAACCAAGCTGCGAGCGGGCGGGTGGGATGATTGCGCGGGCAGTCGGGTTGACAATCACACATTTTTCCAACATCAAGTGCACCACAAAAATTGCGCACCTTCGATGGCACAACATAGATGGCTGACAGACGCTCACACACTGCTTGTGGGTCCGCATTGGCCAGCACTCTTTCGCCAAGTAGATATAAGCACCTATTGGTAAATGCATCGGTTCCGATTCTCCGCACCCGGCGTCTGCGCCCACCAATGAGCGTTGCCTACGCGTTCCTCCCGTTGACAGCCCCGGCACCACCGAGACCCCCGCCACCTGGTGGGCCCGCATCCGCCGTGCGCCGCGATGCTGTGGGCGTCGGGCCCGTGAGGGCCCACGGGCCTCCGCGGTGATGTTTGCAAGGTTCAGGTCAGCGGTCTGGAACTCTCGCACAGCGTGTCGTGAGGGGCCTGTTTCCCACCACAACCACCATAAGTTGGAGGGGGGGAGGAGGAAGAGCAGGAGGAGGAGGAGGAGGAGGAGGAGGAGGAGGAGGAGGACCCCCTCCCCCTCGAATTTATGGTGGTGGTGGTGGTGGTGGTGGTGGTGGTGGTGGTGGTGGTGGTGGTGGAAAACATGCCCATCATGTCGCGCCGCCGGTTCTGGTCCACCGCGTCTCGGCGCGAGGCGCGATCCAGTGCCCGATCCCCCGGAGCGGAGCCGCACGCCATGCGTTTGCCAGTCATGGCGTGTCGCCTGGGTCGCCGCCGCGGCACGCTATTCGAAGTTCCTGACCGCAACGATTCAGAGGAGGGCGAGTGGAGACAACTCTATTTGGCCGTCGGGGAACCCCCTCGTCGCCACGGCTGGACGCAGCTCGCAAACTTGGCGCGGCTGGGCTTTGACAGGGGTCTGGGGACCCAGTTTGAGCTGCCGTTGTCTCAATTCGCCCTGCTCCGAATAATGTATATCTTTGCCTGCACATTTGGCTGTATTGACTGTTTCAACGGGGGCACGTCCTGGATTAGGATAGGCGCAAGTGTTGTGATCCGCTTCCAGACCTGCCTCCTTTGCCGTGCTTACTGGCCAGAACCGTCGATATATTCTTGTTGCGGCTCCGACGTCACAGCTCATGAGTTCCGCCTGGGTTCTCAAATCATGCAAGATCCCTGGTGCAGCCGCTATTCAGGGTCCACAGGGCTTCAGTCTCTTCTGCACGTGGGGGTACATAAGGATATGGAGGAGGAGCTTTTTCCAAGATGCCATCAGAGGCGTCATTCCCAAACTGCTACTTTAAACATGTTGTGGGTGGAAGAAAAGACACGATGTCCGCCTGGGCCCCCGTCGGAGTAGCGGAAGTGCGAACGACCCGCCGATGGTAATGACGTTCAAGGGAGGATAAGCCACCGGGACTGGACAATTGGGGGTTACTAAACGGCCTTGGGCATTTTATTGAGCAGCCCTGCCCTGTTAGATTCCTTCGTTGGGTGCGTTTACTAAACGGCTTCGCGTGTCGGGGTGGTTATTATCAGGGTGTTTTTTTTGCCTTCGAAGCGTGAAAGTGCGGGCGTCGCGGCGACGACGACGGCGACGGCGACGACGACGTCCGACGACGACGGCGGCAGCGGCCACGGTGGCGACGACGAACATCGCGGCGACGGGGGCGACGGGGCCGGGGCCTACGGGCGAACCGGCGCCCCGCCCTCATTCTTGGAGTGCCGCGCCAGATTTTATGGGAGGAGCGAAATCTCTGCGCGTTGTTTTACAGTCTACCCGCATAGTAAGGATGGGCAACGTTCCCAAGGGTCTCGTTGGCCGCGCCCCGCTCGAAAAGCTGCGACATGGGCGTCCAAGGCACTTGCGTCCTTATCACACATCCTTATTCCACGGGTTGACTGTACCCCACCCGATTATCCGTTTTACCAAAGTTTTTTTTTTTTTTTTGTTTTCGTAATCCGTCGTCTTTTCGGAATGTATTGCGCGGCGCGCATTTTTCACCAAAGCCGCTTCACTGCTGTCGTAGAGTCGCTTCTTCGCTTTCGTATTGTGACGTCCTCGCTTGAGTAAAGTCCGCGGTCTGCCTGAGTAGAGCCCTGGGGTTGCGGATGCAGGGCCCGGTCGGGGGGCGGGGGGGCCCTGTCTCCCCTGCCAGTTCACCCCGCGATACATTTGCTCGGGTAGCCAGGGTCGCGGTGCACAGGTCGCGGCGATCGCTGGACATGTTCCCAGCGAGTTCTAGATGCCTCTTGGCAGGAGATTCAGGGCGCGAGCGCAGGACGTGGCTCGGCAATTCGGACGCGCCGCCGCGGCTGTCGCGCAACAGAGCAACAGCACTGAAACAAAGAGGCTTGTTTCCTTTTAGCAAATAGCTTTCTCAAAATAGCAGTGGGAATTTCCCGCTTCCAACACCAGGCGATCCAGGACGCAAGTGCTGTCGACATCCAAGAGAGCGTGAGCAAACCTCTTTCTGGTCTTACTGGGATATGACATCTTAGACTGGGGCTTCTGTGTGGCAGGTCCGTGTTCCTGCACGTGGTTTCCGTCGCCGTGCCCCATGTAATCATGTCCCACCGACCAGAAACCCCCAGGGCCGCAGAACCCCCCAAGGCCGCAGCACACCAGGGCCCCTAGGGTCCTTGCAGTGCCACCTTCCCCACCAGAGCCCCCCGGAACCTTTTCGAGTTTCCCCGGCAGGTTCCCACACTTTTGCATGAGGCAGCCAGAGTGCCCACGTAGGACTTACGAAGGGCAAACCCCCAGCGTGAAAACATTGGGTTTCCGCAAAGCGCCTCGGCGGCGCAGTGGGTTGAAGCTTGACATGTTTTGCTTCACGCTGGCGCCCAGCCCAAGGTATGAGTCAGCGGAAGCATCGGGCTTGCAAAATTTATGATCGAAGATCGTTCCCATCGGGTCGGCCTTCTGTTTTGGATTTGAAGCCCGCGCCCCGGTTGCCGTCAGCAGTTGCGGAATGGAAATACGGAAGTTTTTTGGGCGAGGCCGTTGGGAGTCGCAGAGATACCTCCACTTTTTGAAGACAGGGCGTAGTTTTGAGTCGGGCATGCCCCTCTACAGGAGGAATATTCAACAATAGTCAAACATGGAACGTGGGTGGTTTTTCGACTAGCTTTTTACGAGTTTGGAACATGTTTTGAATTTTGCCCAACCATCCTGTGGTGTTGGGTTTTCGTTTTGAAGACACGGCGCCCCGCGTTCAACCCGCCTCCTTCCTCCCCCCTCCTCATCCTCCCTTTTTCCCATCCGCCTCGTCATCGTCATCGTCAGCCTCATCATCGTCATCATCATCATCGCCATCGTCATGCTCCACATCAGCATGAACATCGTCATCGCCATCGTCAGCGCCGCGCCCCTCACACGATTCGCGGCCCTACAAGGAACTCCACCGAATGCCCCAGTGGCAGGGTCCGCGTGCGGGGACCACCCGTTTTGGCACACCCCTCACACTGTTCGTGGCCTTGTGGGGAGGTCCATAGAAGGCCCCGGTGGCAGGGTCCACATGGTGGCGCCGCCCAATTTTTGGCGCACCTCTCACACGGGTCGTGCCGCAATAGGGAGTTCCACCGAAGGCCCCATTGGCAGGGTCCACATGGCGGCGCCGCCCCCATTTGGCGCACCATTCACACGGTTCGTGACTCCATAGGAAGTTCCACCGAAGGCCCCATCGGCAGGGTCCACATGGCGGCGCCGCCCCAACTCGGCGCACACCTCACACGGTTCGTGGCCACATGGGGAGCTTCACCGAAGGCCCCAGTGGCAGGGTCCACATGGCGGCGCCGCCCCATTTTGGAACACGCTTCACACGGTTCGCAGGCCAATAGGGAGGTCCACCGAATGCCCCAGTGGCAGGGTCCACATGACGGCGTCGCCCCATTTTGGCGCACCCCTCACACGGTTCGTGGCGTCCTAGGGAGTTCCACCGAAGGCTTCAGTGGCAGGGTCCGCATGTCGGCGCCGCCTCATTTTGGCGCTTCCCTCGCACGGTTCGTGGCCACATAGGGCATTCCACCGAAGGCCCCAGTGGCAGGGTCCGCATGGCGGCGCCGCCCCAAATTGGCGCACACCTCACACGGTTCGTGGCACCATAGGGAGCTCCACCGAAGGCCCCATTGGCAGGGTCCCTATGGCGGCGCCACCCCATTTTGGGGGGCTCCACCGAAGGCCCCAGTAGCAGGGTCCACATGGCGGCGCCGCCCCATTTTGGCGCACCACTCACACGATTCACGGCTTCCTAAGGGTTCCACCGAAGGCCCATCTGGCAGGCGGCGCCGCACCCATTTTGGCGCACCCCTCACGCCGTGCGAGGTTCCAAAGGGAGCTCCACCGAAGGCCCAGCTGGCAGGGTCCGCACCGCGGCGCCGCCGTGCCCCATCTGGGGCCGTCTTGGGGGGCCTCCGAGGCTGTCGTGGGTCGTGTTCGGGCCCTCCTGGGCCCGTAAAGTTCACGCGCCACTTCCCGAAGCCCAGGGGGCACGCGGCAAGCCCCTATGGGGGCACGCGGGAAGCCCTGGGAGATTTGAGAGCGAGGGGTCGGGCCCCCCTTTGAAGACTCTTCAGAAGTGAGGATTGGGACTCAGAACATGATATGGGCAAAGGGTCCGAGGACATGCCCACTCCGTGCCTCGAGGCACGGTGTCTGATGTCTGGTATGAGAATCTCTGGCCCAGACATTTCGAATTGTGGCTCTGGCACGGATTTCGGAGGTTCAGATCTCTGGGGGACAGCAGCGCGAACTTTCGCTGGAGGATACAAAAACCCAAACATCCGAATGCAACCTAGCTTTTTCCTGGAATCCCATACCATATTAGTTTTTACAGCATGTGAAATCATAGGGAGTGGCGCCCCCTCAATTCGCAAACACTTGCAATTTGACAGTGATCGCTGCTCACTCGGGTCTCTCTTTGTACTCCTGCCCATGTGCCGCATCGGAAGGAGGAGGACGAGGAGGAGGAGGAAGAGGCGAAGGAGGGGGAGGGGGAGGCCCCTTCCTCTTCCGATGAGGCAGAGAGACAGAGAGAGAGAGACTCTATGAAGTCACATTGTTTGCGAAGTAAGGGGGCGCCAACCCCTTCGATGTCACCAGGGTTTCGTTTATTTCTGGTATGGGTCTCCCAGAAGCCTTTTTGCTTGCATCTCGGTGTTTGGAATTAGCGGGGTTCCAGAACTCTGGAGGGCTGCAGCGTGAATCTTCCTTTGAGGATGCAACCTCCGAAACGCCGTCATTAAACCACGACGTTTCGTATGTTCCCATGCTGGGATCCCCGGACACCCAAGTGAACTCACAGGGGTTTGCGTCTTTGCGCTCCCTTATTTCGCAAACCTTGCAATTGCACATGGATCGCTGCGCCGTCGAGTCTCTCTCTGTCTCCTTGCCTGTCTGCCTCTTCGGAGGGGGAGGAGGAGGAGGAGGAGGAGGAGGAGGAGGAGAAGACGAGCACAACGAGAGGATGAGGAGGAGGAGGAGCAGCAGCATCAGCAGCAGCAGGAAGGACCACAGCAGCAGGAAGAGGAGGGAGGGAGATAACAGGCAGGAGAGGATCAGAAGGAGGTGGACGCATAACAGGAAGACTCGAAGCACGAGGGGTAGGGGGAGGAACAAGGGAACGGGCGGATAGGAATCTGGGAAAAGACCACCGCCAACAGAACAGACGACACATAGCGGGTGTTGGTGTGTAGGTGTGTGCATTGTTTGCATTCGTACGTGTGTACACATACACATAGGAAGCACGTATGAGCCGGAAAGATCGTATGTATATAGAGAGAGGGAGTGAGTGCGGCCTCTGTCGCAATTCGAGGGTTGAGAAAAGAGAGTCCCTACGAGAGGGTAAAAGATAGATCGCAGAGTTTGGTATAGAGACGATCATCGAGCGAGAGAGATCGAGAGAGACATTGTAGGAAGTCCATCGGTCAGGGACGATATACAAATTGACAGAGCGAGTTGAGAGTTTAGTTACAGTAGTACGACTATGCTGCATTTACAGAAGTTAGCGAGAGCGAAAGAGAGAGAGAGAGAGAGATGACGATACATACCGACACCTATAGAGAGGGCAGAACGCGATATGTATAAAGAAACTTGCACCGGGGGTACATAGAGGAATAATGAGACACAGATAGGCAGCGTGCAACACGTATAGGGTGGAGACCAGAGATAACAGAGAGTCATGGCACGGGCAGAGAGTCAAGAATCATGCCACGGGGGGCGATCAGAAACTCACCAACCTGTCGTCTCAATTGTCGTCAAGTTACTGGTTTGTTCCATCAGATGTTCGTACCAGTCTGGGGATGATCGTGGAGCTGCTTGTGCGTATGGAAGCTTTTCGTGATGCCTTTGTAATTCCATCACGTGCTCGCCATAGTTTGGGGAGGATTTGGGATGCGCTTGTGGATTTATCAGATAACCATGTCGGTTGTGTAAGGTGATCGCTCACCGTAGTAATGCTAATATTGCGTCCTCGCTGCTACTTCTCGTGGTCATGCTGGCTACTTCCAGCGTAATGATAGATTGCGCGCTGGGTGTCGTACAGAGCCCTCGCTTGGACCCTAGCATTCCAGCACCAATTGCTTTCAGGTTGAGCTGGTGGCGTTGCAGGCACTCTGCACCTTTTGAAAGCCGTGTCATCCAGCTTATTCTGTTTAGCGCGCAGGGCCGCGCATAAACATGTAGCATTGTATCGCGCCTGATCGAAGCGCCAGGCCTGCACGCAGGCTGGTTGGAATTGGCTATTCACTTGGACGTGGTAAGTCGCACACAAGACAATGGATTGATCTCTCTCGTTGTAGTTGTGGGACCTGGGTGCGTCCTACGTCATTCAGAAAGGGACCAGATGTGTCGCGGTCAGCACCAGACTTGCGCAAGGCAGCCCAGAAAGACTGCAAGACAGCACAGCACGGCCCTAAAGTCCATCATCAGCAGGTGGCGCCGCCCAAAAACGCCAGAGGGCTCCATGTGGGGACAAGCAGTGCCCCAAAAGGACACGAAGGGGTCCTTCCGCGGGTTCCATCGGGCCAACGCCGCAAACAGATGTTGGTCCTTGGCCTGGACAACATTGGAGGCGTCGTGGGTTTCTCTTGGGGTGATTCTGGGCCGTTTATGCTCAGCAGGCACCAGCCTGAATAGAGTCGCCCCTCTCTCATTCAGAGCGTTCCCTGAAAGGCGGTGGCCAGCCAGCTGGCTGAAGACGACAGATTGACGGATTGGTGGTTCGCCGGCGGAAGTGTGCAGATGTTCGGTGGAAGCTTGCAAAAGTCAACGTCGATTTCCCAGAGGATGTCGACCCACCGTCACCTAGGTTTGCCGGAGCGGCCATTTGTGATTTGTTTCGTGCACGTCTGTTGATGCAAGCCTGGTGGCTTCGTGTTTTCAGAATGGATGCGAGCAAATGGAGACTTGAATCTACATATGTACCCATACAACTCGTGGGATGCCGAAGTTTAGCATCGGCGCTGGTATACAGGTGGTCTAAAACTGGCTAGATCCGGCAGAAACCGAGCTAATGCCTTTTAATATTGGCTTGCTCCCAGGATTCATTTGGCCTGGTCCGGCAAAGAGGTCCTCTAACACTTCTCTGGTCGAGCCTCTTAAACAGGGGTGAGTAGCTCTTGACCGTTCTCACAAAGACTTCCCAAGAGTGATTCCCTTTTCCTTCGCCGAGGAAAGACTCCGTGTACATGAGCTGTCGGAGACCCGACTCGATCTCTTTGGTCCGAGCTGGGCCCCTCCTGGTGGTGCCTCTGGCACGGTCCCGAACAAAAAGTCCGCGGACCTCCGGAAATGTGCGTTTAGGAATCTTTCACACCCACGCCGATGACATTACAGCGGGGGGCCCATGCCAAGAGACACCCTGCTTGCCTCCAGGGTGCCTTTGGTTTCTTGGGTTGCGACAGTTTTGTTGTGGAAAGCGTCACGCTCCCACACCACAAGTCAGTGGACGTCCTGGTGTGTCAGGGTCGGGTTTCTAGTTTCTTGTGGAAGGTTTCTTGTGGGCTTGCCTCCAATGTATGCGGGTGGCACCGAACCGATGGGGGTGTCCGAGCGCAGGCCTTCAGGAGTCCACAAAGCGCCGCATGGTGCGCCCTCGTACAGTCTCCAGCGGGGGCAGCCCCCGCCATTCAGCGATAGATGGTGGGAGGTCATGACTTGTGTCGAGGCATTGGCACGTTCGAGATTGCAGTGGGGGCACATGCCAAGAGCCACCCTGCTTGCCTCAAGGGTTCCCTGGGTTTTTTGGGTTTCGATTGTCTTGCTGTGGAAAGCGCGACGCTCCCTCACTAAAAATCATTAGACGTCCTGGGGTCAAAGGGCTGGGTTTCTTGTGGATTGGCCTCCACTGTGCGGAAGGCGGAGAAGTTGCATAAACATGAACTTTCTGCGCTCCGCACGGATTGTTCTGATCCGCGTCGGGCCCCCTCGACGGCGCCTCTGGCGCCACCCCGGGGGCAAGCGCCGATCCAAGTTCTGCGCAGAGCTCCGAACGGTGATCCCCCCAGCAGTGCTTGCACATACGGGTTGCTATTCTTCCCTTCGAGGGAGTTTGGGCGGTTTGCGGGCCCGGCGGCCACGTTCCCGTTCGTCGCCAATTCATGTTTGCCAATGGAAGGCTTGTCTGTGAGCCCGGCGGCCTCATTCTTGTCCGTCGCCGCACCACGTAGATTTCTCCACATAGTTAGTCTGCACTACACAGTCGACACCACATAGATTCTCCTTTCTAAAAGAGTAATAGATACTACCCCCCCCCCCGGACTTATCGCGTCCCCCGCGCGTGCTGCAAATCACATATGATTCTGACCACATGTCCATCCTAAATATGAATTCATACCATCCCAGCCAAGCCGGTATCCCCCCCCCCTGCGGTTCCCTTGTGAAAAACATTATGCGGTGACATGTTTTGTTCTAACATAGCACTTGTTCACGAATCCCTTGCAAAAAATGGGACGAAGTGCACACGCGCGCGTCGTGGCGCGCGCATGCCGAAATCCTTCAAAAACCTTCGGTTCCGGAGAGATTTCAAAATTGAATCAACAAAAAAAAACTTACGCGCGAGATCTTGCAAAATCTTAAGAAACCATAGGTTTTCCAAGATTTTCACAAAATGCTACCAAACGGGCTTCGCGCGCGCGCATGTCGAAATCTGTCGAACGCCCTTGCGCGTGTGCCGTCGCGAGAATCCTCTGCAAAAAATGGGACGAAGTGCAGACGCGCGCGTCGTCGCGGGCGTATGCCGAAATCCTTCAAAAACCTTCGGTTTCGGAAGGATTTCGAAATCGTGCGTCCAAAAAACCACAAAAACACAAGGTTTCGCAACACGGGTTTTCAACAAAATTGTGCGCGCGCGCTCTTGCGTCGTCGTCGTCGTCGTCCTCCCTCCTCCCGCGTCGTCGTCGTCGTCGCCTACGTCGTCCTGTGTCTTTCCTCGTGTTCGTCGTCGTCGTCATCTTTGGCGTCGTGGTCGTTTCCGTCGTCGTTGTCGCCGTGGTCGTCCTTCCTCCCTCGTTGTCTTCGTCGGCGTCTCGTCGTTGTCCCTCCTATTTCGTCGCCGTCGTCGTCGTCGTCGTCGTCGTGGTCTTCACTCCTCCCTCGTCGTTATCCTCCTCCCTCGTCGTCGTCGTCCGTCGTCGGCGTCTCGTCGTCGTCCCTCCTATTTCGTCGCCGTCGTCGTCGTCTTCGTCGTCGTTGTCATCGTCGTCGTCTTCCCTCCTCCCTCGTCGTTGTCGTCGTCGGCGTCGCCGTCCTTCCTCCTTCTTCGTCGTTGGCGTCGTCGCCGTCTTCCCTCCTCCATCGTCGTTGTCGTCGTTGTCGCCGTCGTCGTTTTTTCTCCTCCCTCGTCGTCGTCTCCGTTGGCGACGTCGTCGTCGTCTTCGTCGTCGTCGTCGGCGTCGTTGTCGTCGTCGTCGGTGTCGTCGTCGTCGTTGTCGTCGTCGAAAACATTGGAGACGTCGTCGGTGTCGTCGCAGTCGCTGTCGGCGGCGCCGTCGTCGTCGATGTCGCTGTCGTCGTCGGCATCGATGTCGTGGCCAAGTGCCATGCAGTACCTACCGTCACGGTCTTGTCTGAAGATGTCTTGCGACCAAGTTGCGGGTGGGAGGGTGGGATGTTTGCACGAGCAGTGGAGAGGACAGCTTCAAGACGGTCAAGATTTATTGTCCTTTCTAAAAGACTAATAGATTCTACCCCCCCCCCAGACTTCTCGGGTCGCCCGCGCGTGCTGTAAATCACATATGATTCTGGCCACATGTCCATCCTAAATATGAAGTCATACCATCCCAGCCAAGCCGGTATCCCCCCCCTGCGGTTCCCTGTCAAATAACACTATGCGGGGACACTTTTCTTTCTAACATAACACTTTTTCGCGAATCTCTTGCAAAAAATAAGACGGAGTGCACATGCGCGCGTCGTCGCGCGCGCATGCCGAAATCCTTCAAAAACCTTCGGTGCCGGAAGGATTTCGCAATCGAGTTTCCGAAAAACATACAAAAACACATGGTTTCGCAACACTGGTTTGCTAAAAAAGCTTCCGCGCGAGCTTTTGCGAAATCTGAAGAAAACCATAGGTTTTTTTTCAAGATTTTCACAAAATGCTACCAAACGGGCTTCGCGCGCGCGCATGTCGAAATCTGTCGAACGCCCTTGCGCGTGTGCCGTCGCGAGAATCCTCTGCAAAAAATGGGACGAAGTGCAGACGCGCGCGTCGTCGCGGACGTATGCCGAAAACCTTCGAAACCCATCGGTTTCGGAAGGATTTCAAAATCGTGCGTCCAAAAAACCTACAAGAACCCAAGGTTTCGCAACACGGATTTTCAACAAAAGCGTGCGCGCGCGCTCTTGCGTCGTCGTCGTCGTCGTCGCCGTCCTCCCTCCTCCCGCGTCGTCGTCGTCGTCGCCTACGTCGTCCTCTGTCTTTTCTCCTGTTTGTCGTCGTCGTCCTCTTTGGCGTCGTGGTCGTTTCCATCGTCGTTGTCGCCGTGGTCGTCCTTCCTCCTCCTCCCACGTCGTCGTCGTCGTCCGTCGTCGGCGTCTCATCGTCGTCCCTCCTATGTCGTCGCCGTCGTCGTCGTCGTTGTCGTCGTCGTCTTCCCTCCTCCCTCGTCGTTGTCGTCGTCGGCGTCGCCGTCCTTCCTCCTTCGTCGTCGTTCGCGTCGTCACCGTCCTCCCTCCTCCTTCGTCGTTGTCGTCGTTGTCGCCGTCGTCGTCCTTCCTCCTTCCTCGTCGTCGCCTTCGTTGGCGTCGTCGTCGTCGTCTTCGTCGTCGTCGGCGTCGGCGTCGTTGTCGTCGTCGAAGTCGTCGGAGACGTCGTCGGTGTCGTCCTAGTCGTTGTCGTCGGTGTCGTCGTAGTCGGTCTTACAGGTTTTGCAAACCAAGTTGCGGGTGGGCGGGTGGGATGTTTGTGCGAGCAGTGGAGATGACGATTTCAAGTTCCGCAGAGTGGTTTGCACCACGTAGAGTCCACCACATAGCTTTGCATCACAAATCTTGCACCACACTGCTTGCACAACGCAGCTTGCACAACACAAAATCCGCCATAATGAATTCTCCTTTCTAAAAACAAAGTAGGATCTACCCCCCCCCCCCGCGTTATCAATCCCCCTTTCGGGTATGTAAATCATATAAGATTCTGACCACATGTTCGAATCATATAAGATATGTAAATCACATAAGTATGAATTTATAATATCCCAGGCCGGCCAGTATCCCCCCCTGAGGTTCCCTTGTGCAAAACACAATGCGGTGACATCGTTGGTTCTAACATAGCACTTTTTCACGAGTCCCTTGC